AAGAGACAGGGTTTCACTTAGTCGCCTCAGATGATCTCCAATTCCTGGCATCAACTGGTCCTACCACTTTAGCCACCCAAAGTGATGGGATTATAGGTGTGAGCCACTGTGCTCAGCCTTCTTTATAATAAAAAATTAAAAATTCCGGCGGGGCGTAGTGGCTCACACCTGTAATCTCAGCACTGTGGGAGGCCGAGAAGGGTGGACCAACTGAGGTGAGGAGTTTGCGATCAGCCTGGCCAACATGGTGAAACCCGACTCTACTAAAAATACAAAAATCAACCGGGCATGGTGGCAGGCGCCTGTAATCCCAGCTACTCAGGAGGTTGAGGCAGGAGCATCGCTTGAACGTGGGAAGCAGAGGCTGCAGTGAGCTGAGATCACGCCACTGCACTCCAGCCCCGGCAACAGAGCGCGGCCTCTAGGGGGCGTGGCCTCGGGCGTGTGGGCGGGGTCTCGGTTGGGGGCGGGGCCGCGCAGGGTTTTTTCCCGCCGCCGGCCGCCCGCACCCCGCCCCCGTGCCGCAGCTCGCAGGCTCCGCCTCGGTCCGCCCCTCCGCTCGCTCCCCAGCAGCCGCGGCGCCGAGCCGGTGTCCCCGCCGGTGTCCGAGAGGCGCCCCCGGCCCGGCCCGGCCCGGCCCGGCCCGCGCCCTCCGCCCCCGCCTCCCCGGGCCGGCGGCGGTGGGCGAACTAGCGGGCCCGGCCGCCCCCAGCCCCAGCCCCGCCGGGCCCCGCCCCCCGCCGAGTGCATGAGGTTGACGCTACTTTGTTGCACCTGGAGGGAAGAACGTATGGGAGAGGAAGGTGCGCGGGCCGCGGGGTGCGGGGCGAGGGCCTTGGGGGGCAGCCCAGGGCACGGGGGGGGCCAGGTCTGCCAGGAGGCCGCGCCCCTGCCTCCTCCGGGATGAGCTCGTCCTTCCGAAGCCCGCAGGCCCCTCCCTGTCCCCCTCCCGCCCGGGATCCCCTCCCCGGCCCCCGGCGAGCTGTCCTCCCGCGGGGCTGGGGGCCCCTGGACCCCTTTCCTCCCCCCACTCCCGCCTGGCGCCGGCCTCCATCCGCGTGCTGTGTCCACCACCCGGGCCTCGCCCTGGAGCCACCCTTTATCCAGTCTGGGAAGAAAGAGCGGCCGCCGGGAAAGCCGCAGCCCCGGGTCCCAGTGGCCGCCTGGCGCCTGCCCAGCTCTGTGACCTTGAGCCAAGCGCTGACTCCCTGGACCTCAGTTTCCTCTTCTGCACATTTGGAGACCGGGTAGTTGCCCCCCGGTGCCGGTGGTTGGGGGGCCAGATGGGTAGAGCAGAGACGGGCTCCAGGAAGCCTGAGGCCGTGTGCTGCGGAATCCTCATCCACTCTCCCTCTCCGTGCCCCAAACCCGGTGCCTGCCTCAGTCTTGGCTGGGAGCATGACTCATCCTAACCCCCTCTTTAGCCCCTTCTCCCTCACTGGGGCCCAAGGCGCAGTACTGCACTGCTGTTAGGGTTCAAGGACCACCCCCCACCAGAGTCCCCCAGCCCAGGACAGGGTCTGGGGTCTCCTCCCCGGATCTCCTTCGCTGACCTATCACATAGACCCACCTGGCCCCAAAGCAGAGCCTGACTCCGCCAACCCTGCCCGCACCTCCCCCTGCCACCAACCCTTCTCAGGCCCCTGAAAACCTGATTGGGGGTAGGGACCCTCCTTCATATAACCCCTACCTACCTAAGGTCCCTGCCTCTTCACAGAGCGGCAGGCTGTTGTGGCCTTGGGACATAGCTATGTGACTGGGCAAGCCATGCCATCTCGGGCTCAGTCTCCCCGTCTGTACAGTGGGGAGGGGCAGGCCTGGGGCATTTTCCAGGGTCCACCGGCTCCAAGGGTGCCAGGCCCCAGGGATGACTAAGCATGCCTGTGGCTGCCTAGAGGAGGTGCCAGACCTCCCTGGGACAGGTGTCTGGGAGTACCTGGCTCTGCAGCCCCTGCCCCTCGCCAAGCCATGGCATTCAGTGCCAAGGATCTGTTAGGGCCGGCACTTCCAGGCTTCTGCCCTTGACCTCGCAGGTGGCTTCAGCCCAGGATGCACCAATCCAGCCTTGCCCAGTCCCTGCCTTTGAAGGGCCCTCTTAGTACTTCTTCCTGGACAGGCAGGGCAGGAAAGGAGGTTGTGATGAGAATGTCACCCGCTGCCTTATGTGTAAGGCCACTACTTCCTTTCTCCGCACTTACATTGCCAGACCCAATGCTGTAGCGGGAGGGTGGACCTGGTCCTCCTCCTAGGTTGATACCTAGGGAAACAGGGCCAGAGAGGCTTGGTAACCTAGTCAGTATCTCAGTAGGGAAACAGAGCCAGAGAGACTTGGTAGCCTAGTCAGTATCTCAGCAAGACTCAGGCCAGCGTCCTTTCTTCTCCGTTTGGCACAGTGGCTGCCCCGCCTGGGTGCTGCACGTGTGCGTGTGCGAGGATTCCTGCAGGTGTAGGTACATGGTGGGCAGGGCAGGCTGGGCCTGCGCCAGATCACACCTCCTGAGAACGCTTCCCAGCTCCCTTTCCACCCCTGCAGGAAGCGAGCTGCCCATGTGTGCAAGCTGCGGCCAGAGGATCTGTGACGGCCAGTACCTCCAGGCCCTGAATGCGGACTGGCACGCAGACTGCTTCAGGTAGGTGGGTGCCCAGGGCCTGTGTCGCCCTAAGCAAGGCTTGCCATAGAGGACAGGCGGGTCAAGGATGGGGGAAGGCTGGTGTATGTCTGACGGTGCTGTCAGCCATTGTGATTCTGTGGCCTCAGTTTACCATTTATGAAATGAGGTGTTTTGACTAGAAGATCCCTACAGGCCTTCCTGTTGTCATTTATTTATTTATTTATTTATTTATTTATTTATTTTTGAGATGGAATCTCGCCCTGTCACCCAGGTTGGGAGTATTGTGGCATGATCTTGTCTCACTGCAACCTCTGCCTCCCAGGCTCAAGTGATTCTCCTGTGTCAGCCTCTGGAGTAGCTGGGATTACAGGCACCCACCACCATACCTGGCTAATTTTTGTGTTTTTAGTAGAGAAGGGGTTTTGCCGTGTTGGCCAGGCTGGTCTCAAACTTCTGACCTTAAGTGATCCTCCCACCTCAGCCTCCCGAAGTGCTGGGATTACAGGCGTAAGCCACTGCTCCTGGCCTCATTTAATTTTATTTAATTTTTTATTTTTTCAAAATGGTCTGGCTCTGTTGCCCAGACTGGAGTGTAATGGCACCATCTTGGCTCATTGCAACCTCTGCCTCCCGGGCTCAATCGATCCTCCCACTTCAGCCTCCCCAGCGGCTGGGATTACAGGTAATGCACCACGATGCTCAGCTAATTTTTAAAATTTTTTGTAAAGACAGAGTCTCACTATTGAGACCCAGGCTGGTCTTGAACTCCTAGTCTCAAGCAACCCTCCTGCCTTGGCCTCCCAAAGTGCTGGGATTACAGGCGTGAGCTACTGCGCTGGCCTCTGTTGTCATTTTAGATCTCTAAGATCTAAATCTTAGAGTGGATGAGAGAGACCTGCAATGCAGCCCCCTGCTGACCCAGACAGGGGGAAGAGTTGGAAGGAATGTCCCCCCTGCCTTCTGGGCGCTCATGCTCTTGCAGGGAGGGAAGACCAGCCAGCCCTTGAGGGAAAGCGAGCCACACGCCTTGTCTTCCAGGCTGCCTGCAAGCATGCATAACCCAGTCACAGCAGCCCCAGCCTCTAGACATATACCCACATGGAGGAAGAAAACGGGGTCAGGGTCAGTAGCAGAGGACAGCTCGCATGGAGACCTGCAGGTGGCTCAGTTGCCCCGTAGGACCATCCTGAGAAACCAGGTGCAGGGGTCTACTGCCTTGGAATTGGCTGTGGGGTCTGAAAGGATGTGAGATTTCCTGGGTAGAAAAGTAGAGTAGGGGTGGGCATGGTGGCTCATACCTATAATCCAGCGCTCTGGGGAGGCTGAAGCAGACAGATCACTTGAATTCAGGAGTTCAAGACCAGCCTGGGCAACGTGGCAAAACCCCCTCTCTGCCAAAAATACAAAAAATTAGCCGGGCGTGGTGGCAGTTGCCTGTAGTCCCAGCTACTCGGGAGGCTGAGATGACAGGTTTACTTGAGCCGGGGAGGTAGAGGCTGCAGTGAGCTATGATCGTGCCACTGCCCTCTAGCCTGGGCAACAGAGTGAGGCCCTGTCTCAATTTTTTAAAAAGAAAGAAAAACAAATCGAGCGGGAAAGAATCCTAGCCACAGCACCAAACAACAAGGCTCAGGGAAGAAAACTCCATAAAAGGACGGAAGGTAAAGCTGGGATGCCCAGCAGCGGTCGAGACCTCTACCACCAGGAGTTTATTTTAGGCTTTACTTTTTTGCTTTTTGGGTTTTTTTTTTTTTTTTTTTTTTTTTTTTTTTTTTTTTTTTTTTTTTTTTTTTTGAGGCAGAGTCTTGCTATGTTGCCCAGGCTGGAGAGCAGTGGTGAGATCTCTGCTCACTGCAAACACTTTCTCCCTTGTTCAAGCGAATTCTCCTGTCTCAGCCTCCCAAGTAGCTGGGATTACAGGCACACACCACCACGCCCAGCTAATTTTTGTATTGTTAGTAGAGATAGGGTTTTGCTATGTTGGCCAGGCTGGTCTCAAACTCCTGACCTCAAGTGATCCACCCGCCTTGGCCTCCCAAAGTGCTGGGATTACAGGCGTGAGCCACCGCGCCAGGCCTTGGTTTGTTTTTTGGTGCTTTTCTTTTCTTTTTTTTTTTTAGAGACAGGGTCTTGCTCTGTCACCCAGGCTGGAGTGCAGTGGCAAGATCATAGCCCACTGCAGCCTCCAAGTCCAACTCCCGAGGTCAAGTGATCCTCCAGGCTTTGCCTCCCAAAGTACTGGGATTATAGGCATGAGCCACTGTGCCCAGCCTACTTTTTCTTTTTTAGGAATAATGTCTAACATCGTCTAACATTCAGTGATGGACAACCCCTGTTCTAAGCGCTTTGCATAGTTAGATATTAGTTTCGTCTTTCTTTTGCCAGAGAGAACATTGGGACACAGAGAGGTTAATTCTGTCTTTTTTTTCCTTTTTTTAAGACGGGGTTTCACCATGTTGGCCAGGCTGGTCTTGAACTCCTAACCTCAGGTGATCTGCCCGCCTCAGCCTCCCAAAGTGCTGAGATTACAGGCGTGAGCCACCGCGCCCGGCCTTCTTTTTTTTTTTTTTTTTAATATGAGAATCATCAAACCACAACAGAGAGAGGTTAATTCTCTTGATGAAAGTCACACAACCAGTGAGTGAAATGAACACACCCAGTGGCATGGCTGAAGGGAGACAGACAGCATGCTATGGGTTCTGTATCAGGTGCTCAGAAGGAGGCCTTTGGGAGGCAAGCAGGGTCTCACCAGGCAGAGAAAACCATCTGCACAGAGGTGGGACGGTGCGGACTGCTGAGGGAACGGGAACAGTTCACTTGTTAAGTTGCGGAATCCAACAAGAAACAAAGTTGAGACTGATTCATGAAGGACCTTGAATGCCAGGATAAGGAGCTTCAGAAGTCAGGATGGGTGTGGTGGCTTGCGCCTATAATCCCAGCATTTCGGGTGGCCAAGGCGGGTGATCATGAGGTCAGGAGTTCAAGACCAGCCTGACCAACATAGTAAAACCCCGTCTCTACTAAAAATTTAAAAAAAGGCCGGGCGCGGTGGCTCAAGCCTGTAATCCCAGCACTGTGGGAGGCCGAGGCGGGTGGATCACGAGGTCAGGAGATCGAGACCATCCTGGTCAACATGGTGAAACCCTGTCTCTACTAAAAATACAAAAAATTAGCTGGGCATGGTGGCGCGTGCCTGTAATCCCAGCTACTCAGGAGGCTGAGGCAGGAGAATTGCCTGAACCCAGGAGGCGAAGGTTGCGGTGAGCCAAGATCGCGCCATTGCACTCCAGCCAGGGTAACAAGAGCGAAACTCCGTCTAAAAAAAAAAAAAAATTAGCCAGTTGTGGTGGTGCACACCTGTAATCCCAGATACCCAGGAGGCTGAGGCAGGAGAATCACTTGAACCTGGGAGGCGGAGGTTGCAGTGAGCTGAGATTGCGCCACTGTACTCCAGCCTGGGCAACAGAGTGAGACTCCATCTCAAAAAAAAAGTCAGGATGGGCATGGTGGCTCACGCCTGTAATCCCAACACTTTGGGAGGCTGAGGCATTCGGATCACTTGAGTTTGAAACCAGCCTGGCCGACATGGTGAACCCCCATCTCTACTAAGAATTCAAAAATTAGCTGGGTGTGGTGGCAGGTGCCTGTAATCCCAGCTACTCAGGAGGCTGAGGGAGAAGAATGACTTGAACCCGGGAGGCAGAGGCTGCAGTGAGCTGAGATCATGTCACTGTACTCCAGCCTGGGCAATAGAGTAAGACTCCATAGCCGGCAGAAGGCTGGGGGGGGGGCTGGGGTGACATGCTGTTGAGGAATGCCATCCCAGTGGGCTGGTGGTAGTAACCAGGCAGCAAAGGGACTGTCCCAATAGCTCAGGGGTCCGAGCTCATGAGGCCTGACCTGGGACAGTGACTGAGAATGCAGAGAATTTCAGGCAGAAGGGACAGTTTTTGGCGAGGATTTGTCATATTGGCTACCATGCATTGAGCATCTTCGTGCTAATTAGTTAAATCTTCATCATAACTATGAGGGTCCGTCTGTGCCCGGTTTGCGTGGGAGAAACAGACTGTGCAGTCAGGTGCCTCGCTGAAGTTTGTGACATCTAGAGCTGGGACTCAGACTTCTCACTCCACATCGCCACAGAGTAGAAAAGCCAGGGGCTGGTGGTGGCTCACACCTGTCATCCCAGCACTTTGGGAGGCCAAGGTGGGTGGATCACCTGAGGTCGGGAGTTTGAGACCCACCTGGCCAACATGGTGAAACCCCGTCTCTACTAAAAATACAAAAATTAGCCAGGCGTGGTGGCAGGCTCCTGTAGTCCCAGCTACTCGGGAGGCTGAGGCAGGAGAATCACTTGAGCCTGGGGGGTGGAGGTTGCAGTGAGCTGAGATCGTACTCCAGCCTGGGTGACAGAGCAAGACTCTGTCTCAAAAAAACAAAAAGTCTCTCTATGAGTGAAGATCCACCAGAAGCAGGACCCAGGGCTTCCACCACATGGCTTGTGGGGTGTCCCAACAGTCCCCAAAGCTGGCGGGTCTAACAGTGTCCTCCCCGCATGACAGTGAGCAAAACAGCTCAGAGGGGGTCCCTGCTCACCTGGCCATGTGGCTGACCACAGCCAGGCTGGCTCTCGGTGGGGCGTCCGAGGTGCTAGACTCTGCCTAGCCTCCCTCAGGCCCTGGGCTCCGAGGCATTGGGCCCAGCCCAGACCTCACTTGATGCACTGAGACCTTTGTTCAGGGCCCCCACCCCTCTGAAGGTGTTCAGGCAGGAGCAGTGTGACAAGGCTGTGTGGGGTCTGCAGCCTCCAGCCCCACTGGGGAGGTGGCCAGTGATTGCCAACCCGCCCCCGCCCCCCGCCTTCCTGGCCCCTCTGTGTGCCCCTCCCGGCAGAACTTCCTGGGGTCCCTGAGTCAGTCACTTGCAAATAATTGTGGCACACCCACTCTGCATTAAGCCCCTCTCAACAGCCCAGGCAGGGAGTGCTGTCGATGAAAGCAGTTTCAAGGCCGGGCATG